CCCCCGGTGTTTGCCATCGGGGTTGGGTTTTGTCGCTTGGCAACGACGTTGTAAAACAAGCCGCCCCCCCCGGTGTTTGCCATTGGGATTGTGTTTTCGTCGCTTGGCAACGAAGTTGTAAAACAAGCCAATTCACTTCGTGAACTCGGCAACCAGGTTACCGTTTCTTTTTTTTGTACCTCTGTTTTTTTGTTGGCGGTAACCATAATGGTGGTCGAGTAGATAATGTTGTGCGGGGTCGAGAACCCTCCCTCCGCGCAAGGGGGATGATCGCACCATGTTGTGTTAAAATGGTCAAGCACCCTCGAGACAGTTACACAGTGCTTACAACTGTCTCTGGAAGCGAAAGCACCAGAAAGTAAATTAAGTCATACGCAGCCGTAAACCGTATGCAAGGAAGTAAGCACAAGATGCTGAACACCCTTAGCAGGATGCAGCGCACCCTTCATGCGACTCGCCGAATACCTCACGGCGCTTCGCGCTTGGTGATGTGAGAGCCTGGTCCGGCGAGAACCCGGCGTGCTCCGTCCCGGCTTTGTAGGGATGCGAGGCCAATGGTCTAACGACTACGGCATGCACGTCTGTAAGTACACCCCCTCCGCCCGCCCCCCGCACGCGTTGTGTTTTCGCGCAGGTGAAGTCGATGATCATCGAAGGGAGCACGCCCCCGGTTTCGATGGAGACTCCTATCGTCTACCGTGAGTGCTGAAAACTCTTGTTGGTGTACGTTGATGCGCATACTGGAGTACATAACCACGCCAAGCGTTTTTGATGGTGTATACATGGCACAACAGCTTCTGCTACTTCTGGTAGGTGGTATGCATAGCGTGTAGCATGCTTCATTGACGAGCGAGAGAGATGCGATAGTGCCCTCCCTCTACAGTCGTGGACCCGGTTGAGTGGTTCCCTGTTTGGGGGGATGCGCTGAATAGCGGTTATAAAAATTCACGACACATCTGCACCCCGTTTCAGCTATTATTACCGCTAAACCGGTCGTACCCTCAATAGCGGTCACTGGACAATTTTTTCTGCCACCAATAACGATTATCGGTTCGATTTTCGCAGACACAAGACATTGGGCAGCCCCTTAGCGTGGTCGATGCTCGTAATAATAATAACACACAGCAACACACACACCATGCGGTGCGCAGATGGAGAACTGTAGCTTTTACGTGCGGCACTGAGTCCAAGCGGCGCGCACGATTGTAAGGGTGGCTGTGGTGGCCACATGCACGACATGTATGGAGAGGAGTGGAGGTTCCTGATGGCAACGAGATACACGGCATTTGCCATTAGTGTGCAACCAAGAAGGCCCAGAGTACCCATCGCGTCGCAAATCCACTTAACCAAGCGCAAAGAGGCAGAAAATGGCTTTCTAGCACCAGGCGCGAAAAAAAACACTCGCGCTGCAGCTACACTACAGCCCCGCACGCGGCCCAACTTTGGCCAGAAGCTCGGGGTCTCAAATATTCTTGACCAGAAGGTAGCGCATTCAGCAATAACGCGCAGGAAGAGATCGAATCTTTGCAGAAGGATCGAATACAAAGCTTTTGAGAAGTTCTTCAGTATGTACACGGAGGGACCTATCCCCTCCGACGACGAGTTAGGGCGAGATTGCACCGCAGAAGTTGACGGTGTGCAGGGCAAGGGGGTGATGGCGCAGCCGCCATACTCGGAGCTAGCAGCCGATTTTGACCAGCTTGAAGAGTGCGCGGAGTTGTGTAGCGTGGACGAGGCAGCGCACTATCTTCGCAAGGCAAAAATGGGGTTCCTCGAAGCGAACATCAGAGAGCGGTTGGGTTAAGCATGGTCGATACACGCGACAATTATTTCGTGCAAATGAGCTGCTCAAGCACGTGGTTGGTTGCCATTGCGTTGTCACGAACTTGCCCCAGGTTCGTTAGAGACGGGAACGATTTTCCAGATTTAATGAAGGGCATACTGTAAAGTCTACGAGGGAAAAAAAGCTTTGCGCTTTTGTGAATTGAAATGCACTTATGTGCTTGCTGTGTTGTCATCCTTAGGGTCGATACTTGTTCATCTATCTGCACCCTCCAATGACTGCTGCATTGCGACTCATGCAGGCCCTACATCAAGATGAACTTCGATGCGCTCTTGTTGGGCGAAAATAGGCTTCTTCCCGGTCTAGCGGTTCATCACCGCTAAAGAGGTTTAGCGGCGATGCCCTAGGTAGCGGTTGCTGTATAATTTTTCGTGATAGTATGGACCGCTACACCGGGCCCACGACTGTACTCTATTTGATCGCCCACCGCATTGTTTTTCAAGAAAATATTGACATACAGTGACAGTGAGAGGGGCTCTTGCTTGTGCGGATTATATAGTGCGGGTGAAATCGCTTGGCATTCCCCGCACTATAGAGGGACCCCCACGGTACAGTCGTGTCTCCGATATCCGATATAAGAGGGTGGTATGGCAACCGATTTCGACCTCTATCTCAGCCCCTCTTGTACCGGAACAAGAGAGAATCGGACTTTGGAGGGTCGAGTCCGCGACAACCGTTTGCGACCCTCTGAAGTCGAAACCCCTCTTATGAGGTACCATGTTAAATGGGAGCCACGACTGTACCACCACAGAAAGACTAGCCGTTCGAGATGCAACCGATGTGTTGTGGTGTGGCTATCGTTGAAATGTACACGTACGTAGTTCGGGGTAGGGTGAGGCTACCCTAGGGTGAGGCTACGCTAGGGTGAGGCTACCCGAACACCTTCAACCCTGAAGTTTTTTCTTGTAGCTCTACACGGGGTGGATATACTGTAGGTGAGATAACACAAAATACTTCTCCCCCTGGACGGACTTTCGAAGCTTCGTTACTCTACGGCGAAGAGGATGCATAGATGAAACAGTACGGTTTGGGAGGCTCTCAACGAGATGCCTGCAACGGTCCCATTTTTCGGCACCGCCACTCTCTCTGCTGTACATAAATCAAGCTTACAAAATTGGTTCTGGGGGTGTGTTATCTTATGCCATGTCACCTACGGTAGCGAGCAGGAGCGAACTGTCCGGAATACATCGGTCCTCGCGCTTCCGTTTGTTTGTTTGTCTATGAAATCTACGGTATCTACGAAACACCTTTTGGGGCACGGTTAAGAACATCGAGATGAATGTCTCGGGGCAAGGATTCCGTCACCCGCCCAACCACGGAACCCCCCCCCCCCCCCCCCNCCCCCCCCGCCTCGCGCGCGCTCGTGTTTCGTTTGGACAGACAAGCTCATGCTGCTGTGCTGGCGAAAGAACCCGTCATCGCGGCCTTCGTTCTCTCAGATGGCCTCAGTACTACTCAGGGACCCCCCACCGGTTGGCAAGGCTTCGCCCCGAGTACCAGCGTCGTCACCGTCCTGACCTAAAGAGAGAGAATAAGTACCATAGCACCTCCACCTATCTGTCGAGAGAGGGAGTTTGCGTTTTTTCTTCCACTTTTTTTTTCCAAGGCGGGTCATTTCGACTTGATGAGAAGGGGAGTAAGTAACATAGCCACCTCAGCCTGCCTGCTGCCGAGAGTTTGACTGCTTTTTCTTTCTTTTTTTAAGACGAGTCATTTCGACTCGTGGTTGGTCTGGTAGAGTGTTGTACCGATCGATATCTATGCTGTCGGTGTACTTGCATGCGAAGAGAGACGTGGTTTTTTCCTGTTATGTTTCCGTCCATGATTTATTTTAATAGTAACATAGAAGGAGCGTTTTTCCGTTCTTCCTTCGTATGGATGCTTTTGCAGCATGTGAGGATGACGAAGCGTCCCTTTTTTTGCGTCGGGAAGGGGAGGGGGGAGGGGATTTTTTTTGCGGTGCACGGCGGCAACTGATCGCCCCCCTCGTTTGGAGATTTACAGTGGATGATGATGGCCACGAAGACGTTGCTTTCTGTGCTGCTGAAAAAAATGGTTTCCAGGAACAACGGAAAATAACAGAGGGTCGGAAATCTGCGTACTAAGACGGCACATCGTTCGGCCTCATTCGTGTGAGCGGAACTAGGGGGGTGGGGGGGGTAGACACCAGCCGTGTGGCCCCCTCGATGTCGGCGGCGTGCATGCGTGATGCATTGAGGTTGCGGTGGCGCCCGCCCGCCAACCCAGACCTCGTTTCGAAGAAATGGGTCAGGATGAGATGCTTGCGTGTGTAGTTCCGGCCCGGAAATAGCAGTACCGTGCAATATTGTTCGTTGACGGGCCGATAGTTATTTGTTGTTGAGTGCAAAGTGTAGCGGTGTGGGGCATGAGCGTTGATCGGCACGCGCGCGCCTCCCTTTTTGATCACCTGCTGGGATTGTCGCTTGTCTTTTTCATTTCTGTACTCCATCTGTAGTGGGTCCGACTTGTGCGTAATGGGATGATTTGTACTCTAGGGCATTTCTAGAAGGGTAACATGGGTGAAATCCGTTGTTGCCCGGGGCGGGCGGAGGGACGTCGTTTGCTTTCGGTTTTACCTGCCGCGCAGGCTGTTGCCTCGCGAGTTGTCGTCTCCCGTTTCATTTATGTGCTCTCTCGAAACGTATGCGGCCTGTATGTGGAGTGAGTGCTGTTTAGTTGTGGATGTAGTCGTCGCCTGGGTGTTGATGATGTTTTGTTGGACGCATGTCAGAGGAGAGAATTGGGTGTTTTGTGTGTAGCCGTGGCTCGGGAGGACTTGATGATCGCCTTTGTTTTAAGCTGGACTGTGTGTTGCATATTGGGCTAAGAATGCCATGTGCTCGTTTGTCGTCGACGAATTTTCCCGGAATTTCTCCCCGACCGGTGCACACAATGTGTCGGCGACGACGATGACGTATCAAGAGTTACATGCGCTGCTGTTAAAGTCTTGCCGCTCCTGCTTGTGAGTTCATTCCTTTCTTCTAGTAAAATAGTCCAAGCATGGCTGCATTTGCACGTGTCTTTCACCCCCGCTCCCTACACGCCGTGCCCCGCGTTTCTGGCGCCCTGTATCCACATCATGGGTATTGGTTCCTCTCGGCCTTTTGGCGAAACGGTTTCTTTTGTCATCGATTCGATGGTGGAGTGATGTCGCCAGACTCGGTTATGGGTGCTGCGTGCGCGAGTAGTCCGATGATGACTTGCTGGCTGTTTTTGGTAACGCCAGCCCAGCAGGGAGGGCGGGGGTCCAGCCGCGGGTGTTTCTGTGCGGGGGGGGGGGGCTGTACTCATGGTCGTCCATGCCGTAGTCGTTTGGGGGGGGGAGTCTTTGCATGTGTAACGGTGTACCTGCGTCCGGTATTTTGTTTTCTCTCTTTGATGTTAATTGGCAGTGTTGGTCGTTTTTGTACAAAAGCGGTGTGGCTTTTGGTGTTGTTTCGATTTGTCACTCGCTCACCGCGACGATGCTGTTTTGCGCCGTCTTGGAGTAAAATGTCAGGAGATGAATTGTAGCTTTTTTTCTCGGTTGCTTTTTGCTCGTTGCCTCTGATGTTTGCTGCGTAAAGTCGGCCTCCTTCTGTATAGCTGGCTTTCGGTTTGAAGTGTTGCTGCTACAGAGAGGTGCAGCGGTTTGAAGTGTACTATAGTCGTGTGCAGCAATCCGTTAATCATTTAGTCCACAAAACGACAGCAGCAGCAGCAGTGACCAACAAAGGTTATAAACGGTCTGTCCGCTGGGTTCGATGAACGTGCACATGCATGAGTGTTCCATCATGAAGCTGTAAGTCGCATGTATGTGAACGAGAACCAACCAACCTGCATAATAGTAGCTATCACCACTCAATTTCGTTAATCCTCGAAGCAAGAAGAAATGCCGCCGAACGGCAAGTGAACGAGCGCACCTCCAAGCACATATATGAATAGATGATGAGAGGTTGGGATGGACCTGATGGTTATTATGCACTACCAAGATGCAACCCGTGGATTCCCTGACATACACATATTTTCGTTGTTGTTGTTGTTTTATCTGACGGACGTCGGGCGTTAACTCAGACCCCAAGCCACCAAACGAATAGGCCATGATTTTTCAATCTGACATTTAGTAGGGTTTGTACTCAGTCTACGCTTGCCTTGGGAAGTACCAAGATTGAACCAAGGGGGTGTACCTCATTCTCTCCGGCCCGTTATGGTGACTCCTAGTCTCAGTTGTTACCTCGCATAGCGCGCAGAGGGAGTGGAGGACTCCAGAATATCTGTCGTTGATTCTATTGACTTGCGGGCCCCTCGGGGCCGTTTTCTTTGAGTGTACCTTATTAGGGTAAGTTAGCCTGCGACGACGGGAATCGACCGCGTCGACGAGTGTTGGATCAGTACGGACATATGAAGGTACTGGGTAGAGAGAGATCGGAACGGTTTTCAATGTGAAGACAACAACAACAACAACAACAACAACAACTCTTGCTTGTCATACGCATCCATAAAAAAAGAAGAGAACAAACTCGTTCGTACGTAGTTGTGGCACGCAGTTCGCTGATTGGCCAACGCCCCCTGCTGCGGAATTTAAAAAACAGCAAAAAAAATAGGGCACGATCGAAGATCCTTGGATGTCGGGTGACGTCATCCACGGTGGATTCGAGGACAGCACGCTGGGAGATCTTGGGAAAATCAAGTCGTCTTCGAATGATGACCTCATCATCCTGGCTGATTACAGGAGAACGGCGGGGGATACAATAGATAGAGAGAGATGATGGATCCTCCGACCGTCCGATAGATCTCCGACGCGTTCAATCTTGGATTCGGGATGCGATAGCAAGGAATCTTTCCGGTCTTCAACCGATTGATGATGATATAGACAGCCCAAGCTTGGCGAAGAATACACCCTGCTGCCTCACGCCCACATCACTCTCCTCCTCGTGCTGGCTGCTCGAAGAGAGGAGAAGAGGTTCCGTGGCTCGTCGAGTTTTCGTGAGAGAGGCTTCAGGGGGGGGGGGGGGGGNGCGACAACACTATAAAAAGAGAAACTACTATGCCGCCGCCACGGCTCTCCCGCGGCCCGAGTACCGGTGGTGCGGCGTCGAGCAGGTGGACCAGGCCGCTCCCCTGCCCGACAGGAGCAACGGCTGGCGCTACCGAGGGGAGAGGGAGGGAGAGACCTACAGGCGCCAGGCGGTCTTCGGGGCCGGGTTCCGCCTCCGCCTGCCGTTCCCCCGCCTCTCCCCGGGGCCGGGGCACCGCTGGTTCAACTCGCACCCGCTCGGCGGGGATCCCGACCTCCCGGACTTCCAGGCCTGGGCGCGGACGATGCTGCGCAGGCGCCTGGTGCACAGAGACGACGCCGACGCCTGGCGGGCGGCCGAGAAAGAGATCAATATGTGGCACGCAGTTACATGGATAGCTGATTGGCAAAAAAAAACTTCGTCGGGATTTCAAAACAGGCAGCCACCCCCGAAGATGGTCGACCGGCGACGTCATCCACGATCGGTCGCGAGTCGACATCGGCTGATGACTTGTTGCTGCCATTTTGAATACTAAATAAGCAAGAGATAGAGAGAGAGAGACCCGTCAATCGACCTTCGTGTAATCTTAATCTTTTTATTGTGATATCCTTCGCGGAAAACCCTAGTAATAATTATTATGGCTGCCGCTCGGCACCCTCCGCGCGACAAGCAAGGAAGGGTAGATTGGGATCGGGGATCTTGTTTGTGTGGCATCATCACCACCACAGCACACCAAAGGACTACTGCTGTACCTACATGCAGGCAGGCCGAGCAAGAACCGTCTATCTTCTTGTTGTTGGCATGGCCAAAGGGGTGCGACTGCACAACGAACCCTACTGTTAACTTTTCTGTGTGAAGCGGGACAGGGAAGAGCACCCAGAGAGAAGCGCTCCAAAGTAAAGAAAGCTATTTTTTTACACACATCGCCTCTTCCTACTTTTCACAGTCAGTGCGCTACCTCTGCATAATAGACCACTTGCAATCGGACCCCCCGCACCCCTCCGCCCAGAGCATTTTTTTGGCATTTTTTTGGTGCGGGGGGTCCGATTGCAAGTGGTCTATTATTCAGAGGTAGCGCACTGACTGCTGTTCTGGGTCCTTCCGGCCGACATTCCTCTGCACGTCACACACACGCATTTACACGTCGCATGCATCCATAAGCACCTGACAGGTCGCCGAGGCTGTTCTTTCAAGTCCTCCTTGGTGGTTTAGGGAGCGATGGGTAGACAAGTCCGCCGGTGTTGCAGACATGTGGTGACTCCAAGAAGCCCACGAACACAGCAGAGAGGTGGCGGCATATTATTAGACATGGCTGATGCCTTCACGCGTGGTGCTTGGGTATGGCTAGGGCAGCTTTACTGGCGACAATGAACCATTCAGCCTCTT